CAGTGGAATAGAAGTGATTGTTAAAAAAGGATGGTCAGACAGAAGTTGTAGAGTTTTGAGGAGGACGTGTGTTAATAACCTCATCTTCGTTGTAGAGTTAATAATTCAAGGTCAATCAATAATATAAATGTGGGAAAAAGAAGCATATATAATATTAGTGTATTATGAACATAAAACATCTTACTTTTAATCTAACAAAAGATTTAACTTAGTATTTAACTTAACATTTGATTTGATTATACTCTGTGAACGTATGACATTTTGTGGTAAAATTATCGCCTAACAACTAACCTATAATATGTATTCTTACAAGATTATTCGCTTTCGAATAGTTCTGATAAGTTTCAATACGCTGATTTAAATATCAAAATCTGATCCCAGCAAAATTTGAAAGAGACATTATTTAAATTATTGTTTATTAAAATAAACAAATTTCAACCGTATACTCCGCGAATACAAGGATATCACACTCGGTAAAAAGCAGATTGCGCGCTTGTTACATACGTATATACGTTGAAATATTCAACAAAAGAATATAGAATATTCAACAAAAAACATGTAATATGTGCGAAAAATGTATAATACATTCATGTTAATGTTTCTATACAGACACGAGACGAACGTTCTTATATTATTTCAAAGTACGCAAAATACGAAAATGTAGGTCATAAGGTCAGTTATGAAAAAAATTGCGATATTTTCTCCTTTGACAAGTTTCGCAATGTATCTCGTATCCAATAGAAAAATGTATCCCCTTAAGAATTACTAAAAAATAAATTCTCCTATTGGATATGAAATGCGTCCCAACATGAAAAAAAAGTCAAGGGAAAGAGCCATTAAGATCTAAAACTATTAAGAACAAAAACTCATAAAATTGTATTAAATTTCATGCGCAATCAACGACACCTTTGTGGTCATGGATGTTTGTTTGCGGCTGCTGTGTCGTTAGCTGAACATTGCTTAAAATCGACTTCGACTGAATATGCGTTCCAATTTCATTGATTGCGCATGTAATTTCGTATGATATTTGTGAATTTTTGTAAATCAATCCGTTGAAAAGAGCCCGAATAAGACCGAAACATCTCGACGCACTTTTAACTGGACGATATTTCACATAGTATTACATACGACTTTGTTCATTGCATAGTGGCACTAAACGATCCGTGCTTTGGCTCTTAATGGCTTTTCTCTTGACTTCTGATTGCACGAATCCTTCTAAAATTATGAAAAAAAAAAAATTGTTGCAACATTTTTGCGACTGGCCGTGCATAGTTTAAGAAATATATTCAATTCTTTTGATCGCATTAGTTACAGTTTAGTATTTCGGCAGCCTCCGTCGACCAGCGGTCGTTCATCCGGGGTTAAAAAAAGCAGCGCGAGCGTTTTCACCAGCCGAGCGGAGCTACAAAACCGCGATAGTAGGACCGGGGGTCGACGCGAAAATAAGCGTGATCGAAGTACCTAATGGGTACGTCACGCTGACCGCAGATAACACGGTTGGACCGACCGCTTGTGAATAGTTGAACGAGTACAGCGGTGATTTTCGGACAGCCGGAAGCGCGCCTTTTGCCGCCCGTTATAAACGTTAAATCGGTTAGACGGGGGGCTTTTACGCTGTGCGCAAATCGCGTTTTAACGCTACGGCGGGCGCGTCGCGCGTAAAACAGCGGAATCGCCGCGTGGTTCAATTAAAATACGCGACACGCACAAATCGACACGTCGATCGCGCGAATAATGCGCAACGCTTGTCGACTTTTATTCGTAATTTCCCTTTCGCGCGTAATTTACTTTTGCGGCAACGTGATATCGTCCGAATACACACACACACACACACACATGTATAATGCCGGTGGGAAAAGAGAGAGGCGGGTAAGTACTGATGGTTTATGAAGCTGCAATGGCTTACGATTCTCTGTCGGCGTGAAAGCGAGCGCGCTCGTTCGCTTTTTATACCGCGCATAACGTATCGAGAGATGAGACGTGTCGCGCGTGTCGACGTTTTTCGTCCGGAAATGCGCGCGTTTTATTTCGACAGAATCTGTAAGCCGGCAATCACTGTCGACGTGTATTTGCAGTCGGTTTAATGCGGCGATACCGTCGCGCATATTCGGCACAACGCTAGGAAAATCGATAGCGAACGCGAGTCGCTTGTCACCTGAGAGAGGTACTCGCGATTATAATTTTAGATCTCGCGATGCGATCAGCCATTTTACGCGAGACGTGGAAGCTTTGAGCGCTCGTGGGTTTCTTCGACGGCGATATTTGATTCGCGGAATTCTCAATCATTTCGTTCGTGAAAGGAGACAAAATAATAAAAAAGGGGAAATGAAGGGAAAAATCTCTAATGAAAAAATTCACGTGGACTCGTGCAAAGTGCGTGCTCGAAGTCGAAAATTATCGAAGGTTCTTGTTGCCGCTATTCCGCGCTTCCGATCGGTTCTCTTGACGATGATGAGTTTCGTACTGTCGCACAGTGGGTCCAAATCGACTTTAGCCGGTCAAAATTCCCAAGTCTCCGTAATATTTATATTTCATAATGGAATTTACGACAAAATATCCTACATGTATTTTCGGAAATTTCTAATCAGACTTCACTTTTGATTGTTTAATATTTATAAGATAAAATGCCTAAGACATATAATATAAAAAGAAAATCAAGTAAAATGTTATTTTCAATCATTTTTCTTCCCATTGGCATTATCTAAGATTAATAACGTTGAAAGAGATGTAGGCGCATTTTTTGCTTTCTGTTAATTTTACTGTTTTATTTATTTACCTTTTTTTTGCTATATTGAGAATCGCTTGTTCTCATTTTGTATATCAGTTTTTATGGGTATACGCTCTGTATGTAGGAGGAAGTCGACGGGAGTTTTTTTCTATAATACGATACGATCTGTTTTAAATTTTATAAAATGGTTGCGGAATCTCAAAAACTGATATAATTTGGATTGATTTAAAAATGATATGAGCGGCTTCCCGAAGACCCGTTAGTTGGTAGATCATAGGGATCAAATGTTTCATTGATCATTTTAACAATAATTCTGAATAATCACTGGATATTCGAATTACTTGTTCGAATCGCTTAAACGAGCTAATGTGATAAATCGTGTTTGATCGCGAATATTTTATTTCTCTCGAACAATGGCGTATTTCATTAAAACTTTCATTTGCGCGTGCATTCGGAAACGAGAAAAAAACATATGTTTGATAAAAATTTTTAATTTTTCATTTTTAGCTGGCTAAAATCGATGTGGACCTATCGTGCTGTCATCGTGATGTAAGTTATGTACCTTGATTTGACAGTTTGTCAAATAAGTGAAAGACGCGAAGCGCCTTTTTCGAAATTAATATAATCATTGTTGTTGCTTTTTTCCGATGCTGCGACTTGCTTCACATGTCTCGTTTGCGACTGTCAAATCATTACGTATATTCTGATATTCTTCGTTCGTTGTTGTAAATATCACGGAATCACTTTTCTCAGTCATATGGTCAGTCGCAAAAAGGTTGCGACACTTATCTCAATAAGTTTGAAATTTCGCATCTCATACGTCAAATAGGAGAATTAATTTTTTAGTAATTCGCGGGAGATACATTTTTTTTCTTATTGGATACGAGATGCGTTGCAAAAGTCATCGAAACAAAGTATCGCAACCTTTTTGTAACTGACTGCACAACTGAACGTCCAGACGTTTGTTTTCGCTCGCAGTAACTGAGATATCCTTTCTTTCCAGCTGGTACCTGTTCAGTTACACAAATTGAGATTATTTCAGTGTGAAAGCAGTTAGCTAAATAGCGTGTTGTTCCGGTAAAGGGAAAAAAATGTGGAAGAAAAAAAGAAGACGCGCGTTGCTATGCGCGACTCAAATATATATTCGGTCGAATGTGCAATTCCGCTTCCTCGCAGCCTTTAGCCCGATGGATGTTATTTAAATGTCGTGCAATGAGATCTCGAAAGCTCACTTCGAATATAAAAGCGCACGATTCCCATTCGTCGAATTTGCCTTGCAACAGTCGCGTCTTTATTTCCCGTGTTTTCAAACTCGACGGTATATCGGCTGCCTGCAGCGCTATCGTTTTCCCCCGTTCGCGAAGTGGCCGGTGCTGAAATCTCCCGCCGAGATTAAATGACTTCCAGTTGTATAGAATCTTAATGTCGGAAGGCGCTACTTCCCCCCCCCCCCTTTCTTTCTCTCTCTCTTAGCCAAAGAGATACAGCGCGCTTCCTGCGAAACGGCTTCAAGTAGGATTTAATGTTTCGTAAAACACGGAGTACAGATTAAAATGCCTTAATACGGGATTTACCTTCGCTGTATTAAGCGCGATTTCAGAAATATTTGCGCTCGCTCGAATAAGTCCGGATTAAGAGACGAAGAAGGGAGCGTAGTCTTATCGGCGCGTCTCCCTTCTTCTTAAATATTCTTCTCCGCCAGGAATTGGGTTAATTAAGGAGCAAGAGAGAGATAGCGACGCATTATTCCGCGCGTAAGAAACCACGAACACCGCGGTGTTCGCGGAGACATTTGAAGAAATCGTCGTTCTGTTCCTTTTTGGCTGAAATTTCGAGAAATTTCATCGTATCTAAGAGATCTTCGGAAGTGAAGCATTTTTCTTTGTACAGAGTATCCCGTGTGCTCATTAGCCGAGACAAAACAATGAATTTTGCAAAATGATACGCGACTTTCCTGTTTCACCCGTTCTACCTCCGGCACACCGCGGGAACCGAGACCCAATAGTTTGGGACACCCTGTATAAATTTTGCGCACAGTTCAGTTGAAAGAGAACGCGACGAGGAAATACTCTGTGCTTCAAGTTTCCAGCTCGGCCCGACTGACGGACGGAGAAGAAAACTTAGTCCGCGCGTCTCTTCTGAAAGATCACGCCCTCGGCCGAAAACTACGGGAACATCGACGAGCAGCGGTTGCGCGACGTTCGAACGGCGTCCCGGTCGATATGTCACGTGAAGTTAGCCGGCGACGCATGCGCGCGACGTGGCCGGACAACTTCGTGGCGACCCACAGTGGCAGTCTAGCGGCGCAAGGAGGTGGGTTAGTTTCTTCGTCGCTCGATATTGTCGTTTGGATCTCAAGGAAAATCACGCCCCCTAAATGTAAACGGTATCGAGGAACCACTCGTGGGAGGATTCGTTTCGTCGTGCACCGAGGTGAGTATCCGAGGGAGTCCTGTTTCGAGACGTGAACACGAATGCGACGTTTCGTCGCATTATCCGTTCCTTCCTCCCCCCACTTTGACGAAATACACGTTCCCGCAAACTCGAGTATTCCCGCAAATTTCGCGTCGGAACGCGCCGCTTCGGCGACCTAACCTATACGCTCGAATAACGTCAGCGCCGCCGCGTCTCTTTGTTCCCCGGCAGCTGATAATCTCGCGATGAGTTTGCGAGATGCACCTCTTCTAACCTCTCTCCCTTCGTTCGTTCGCAGACAAGATGTCGACATCGGCGATATACATTCTGGATGTGAAGGGCAAGGTGTTGATCTCACGGAATTACCGCGGCGACATCGAGACCGGCGTCATAGAGAAGTTTATGCCGCTGGTGATGGAGCGCGAAGAGGAGGGCAATCTCACGCCCATCATCCAGACACCGGAGTGTACTTACGCGTACATCAAGTATAACAACCTGTACATCGTGTCCACCACGAAGAAGAACGCGAATATATCCTTGGTGTTCGTGTTCCTGCACAAAGTGGTGCATGTCATGCAGGAGTACTTCAAGGAATTGGAGGAGGAGAGTATACGAGACAACTTCGTCGTCATCTACGAGCTGCTGGACGAGCTGCTGGACTTTGGCTATCCTCAGACGACCGACAGCAAGATACTGCAGGAGTACATCACCCAGGAGGGCCACAAGCTGGAGATTCAACCGAGAATCCCCATGGCTGTGACGAACGCGGTCTCATGGCGGTCGGAGGGCATTAAATACCGCAAGAACGAGGTCTTCCTCGACGTGATCGAGTCGGTGAATCTCCTGGCGAACGCCAACGGCAACGTCCTGAGCTCCGAGATCGTCGGCGCCATAAAAATGAGGGTCTACCTGTCGGGGATGCCGGAGCTGAGGCTGGGCCTGAACGACAAGGTGCTGTTCGAGTCGACCGGACGCGGCAAGTCCAAGTCCGTGGAGCTGGAGGACGTCAAGTTCCACCAGTGCGTGAGACTGTCGCGCTTCGAGAACGACCGTACGATCTCGTTCATCCCGCCGGACGGCGAGTTCGAGCTGATGTCGTATCGGCTGAACACGCACGTGAAGCCGCTGATATGGATCGAGTCGGTGATCGAGCGGCACGCTCACAGCCGCGTCGAGTACATGATAAAGGCGCGCTCGCAGTTCAAACGGCGCTCGACCGCCAACAACGTGGAGATCGTGATACCTGTGCCGAACGACGCCGACTCGCCCAAGTTCAAGACCACGATCGGCAGCGTCAAGTACTCGCCGGAGCAGAGCGCCATCACGTGGATCATCAAGTCCTTCCCGGGCGGCAAGGAGTACCTGATGCGGGCCCACTTCGGCCTACCCTCGGTGGTCGGCGAGGACGTCGAGGGCAAGCCGCCCATCCAGGTGAAGTTTGAAATCCCATACTTCACCACGTCGGGCATTCAAGTGCGCTACCTCAAGATCATCGAGAAGAGCGGCTACCAGGCGTTACCGTGGGTGCGCTACATCACTCAGAACGGTGATTATCAGCTGCGGACGAATTAGATGCGGCACTCGCGAGAGTACTTCATTCAAATGACGCTCGATCTATCTTTTAAACGCGACGATACTGCGTCCGACGGAAAAGAGAGGAAGAAGGAGAGAAAAAAGAAAAGGCTTGTAACGAGATCGAATACTTCGTTTGATAACACACACGTGTTTGGCAAGCCGGACGAAAGCATGTCGTATATATGTATATGTAAGTACAGACACTAAAAATAGTATTATATCGATAAGGATTACCGATCAGCATCACGATTGCCGATCTTATTATTACTGTACATCGCTACGATATTAATTAATGTAAGAGATGACAGCACGGAGATAAAGTTTTTAATAGAAATCGTACGATAAGATTCCGCGAAACGTTCGTTCCCCATCACTTCCACTTTTCTTTCTTTTCCGCACAGAGGAAAATGATGTGCCGGCAAATTTTTGTCGCTATTGCGACAAAATTATTTACTATGTGGACAGCAAGACGATTTGTTCACTAATTGCCATCCGCTGCATTATTTTGCTGTAAGAACAAATTAATAAGTGCAGAAAAGCACTCTATCTCGTTCTAGCTTAACTGTGTCCTAAGGACAAATTCACTCGGCAGAATTTTTTCTATCCTGGCAACAAAACTTTTCTAATTACGAATAACTCGCTAATTTGATCATGCCGACTAAATTTTATCGTTGTCGCAATGCTGTAGCAACGTAGATGATTTCGCTACAACAGCAAATTATTTTTCTCTGTACAGAGGTCTCCTTGGATTTAGTATACGTGTTTGGTTTGTTAAATATAAATAATTTAATGTCATTTTGTTTGAATGAAAATTTGAAAATATTGTATATATATGTATAAAATTTGGTTTTCAGTAAAAAAAATTATTTTATTATATATTAAATATTGTTCCAATGAAACACAAAGAAGTTTTTCAATATTTTTCCGTATATATTTTAATATAGTGTTATACTTTTTTCAAATAATTTATTGCTTGATGACAACCATTACAACGGTTGGGTGAATATACAAAAGAAATATGTTATTTGTCGTAAAGCTATTTATTGTATGAGAGAAAGAAACCAAATAATCCTATTTGTTGAATCGAGCATTCATTTGCTCCATTCCAAAAGATAAATTTGTCTCAACTCAGGAAATTTTATTAAACCCCAAAAAAATCGTTTTCTCTGGATGTATAATCGTTATATAATGATTCCCCGTTTTCTGGTGAGAACGTTCCTGCTCCTCAGGAAATCGAGGGTTGCTTTTCGTTGCGTCGCGCCGTATCGAGAACACCATAAGTGCGTGGGGTTGGGAGACGGCGCGAAAGAAGAGAGGAAAAAAAAGAAACGATAAATATTCTATGCAAGAGAGAGATCGTGTCACCGTTCACGCTGTGCAGGGAGGACACGAAAACGCGATTAGAGCGAAATGGCGGGAGCCGAAACCTTTTTATTCAGTTTCTCTCTCCCCTCTTTCATTCTTTCTCTCTTCCTCTTTCCTCCCTCGCGACACCGCTGAACACTCGCGCCCGCTCCGAATGCCCGCGGTATGCAAATTTTTTGTCGAGCGCACGAGCGTGTAATAATTTTATGGAAATCCCCGCCAAGTACACTCATACAGAATTTTGTGCGCTCTCGCGCACGCGCGAGGCGAATCGGAAAAAATGCGGGAGAAAAAAGGGGAGAAAAAGGGAGCGACTGGGGCAGGTGGCGGCGACGACGACGACGACGACGACTTCGTATGGCCAGAGATATCGAGAAAAAAAAGTGACGACCCGCGCGCTTATCTGTATTCATCGGCGATGTCGGACGAATTTTCTTTCCTTTTTCGTTTCACCCGGCAGGATCCGCGCCGGAATGCAACGGGATAGCGGCGTAATGCTCGGTCGCGCAGATAGTAATCGGCGATGGGGATGGACGAAGGGGGGTTGTTACGAGTGAATTAGCAGGTCCGTGCAACGTGCCCGAAGTGGCCGTGCGAAGCTCCGAGCGCGTCGAGAACGAGCGATACCAGGGAAATTGTTAGCAGTCGTCGAATGGCAGAAACGCCTAATCTTTTCTCTTCCTCTCTTTAGAATTTTTATAATAAGAGTTACGACATGGAGGTGATTATTTCTGATTGGTTGAGTTATCGTACAAGGTAAATGTCCGAATTAGTGACGAATCGCATCTACTTTCCTTAATAATTAAATAATAATACATCTTCATCTTTAAAAATGTATTTTTACTTTAAATGGTTATAACATGTTTTAAGTGTTAAATAAAATTAAAAACTATAGTGAATACTAAAATATTATAAGTATAACCGTGCTGTAAACGGCGACAGTTCGAGCGGTTACTAGCCGACATCTTTCGTAAGAGTTAATATGAGATATTTATTTGACATTTTTTTTTTAGTTATTCTCTAATGTTTTTTTTTTTTAGTTATTCTTTAAGCGATTGAAATTGTAGTGTCAAAGAAGAAAGATTAAAAATATTTACAAATTCAAGGACAAAATCAAGGTTATATGTCACTAAATGATACTTCCATCACTTTCAAGGAGATATTATAAATTAATTTAAATCTTATCATAAATTTAAAAAATGTTCAATTAGAACCACAAATGTTGAAACTTTCGAATAAAATAAATTTTATGTACTTAACGCTTAACGCGTATCCCGGATGGAAATATTTTGCTGAAGTACTTTTTCAATTGATCCCATTTGATTAATATATTTCCAGTTTCATTCAGTAAATTACATGATATCTAATATTTCAAAAATTCTTTTTTATTACTTTTCAGAGTTACATTTTAATTTTCATTATATTTCACAATATTACACTGAATATAGTGATGAAAATTATGAATTATTTTTAAATATTTATTATTATATATTTCAGCAATTTTTTCAATAAATTTCATCTCACTGTTCGTCAAGTTCATATTATACCAGTACACGAATATAAGGAAAGTTAAAGTATATTGTTCAAATTTATTGAATTTAACTGAAAACTGCGTACGTCAACGGAATAAAAATAAAATGGAGTCAATTGAGAGAGAATTTCGGTAAAATTTTCTCCATTAGGGATATTATCATATTAATTTATTTTCACGATAAAATTACTTTGTCAGTTGGGACATTCACCTTATAGCGGATAGGGCGTTATTATATTGTTAATCATAACTATCTTTATCTCTTTGCTAATTTTTTTTCAATACATTTCCTACACAAAAATGCCCAAAGTACATCATAGAGATGTCCTACAAATGTCATGACATCTTTAAGATATCTCTATGATGTATTTTGAATATTTCTGCTGTATGGGTTATTTTGACAGCTCTCAATGTCATATTGAAGGAAAGTGTGGTGGATCTAATTTTTAAATTTTAGGAAGCAAAACCAACACAAACGCTACGCGAGCGCTATTTATCTAATTATTATGATAAAAGAAAAAATCTAAAAAATCTGCCTTGTTACAAGGGACTATTCATTTCCTACGGCTTCATCTAAACGACGCAACAATGATTTGTATCTTTCTTTTTCGCGTCGCCGGTCGCTCATCTTTATGTTATTTATCTATCGGCGCGACTTGACAATTTTTCCATATTTTTTATTATTGTTTACCACATACAAGATGAGAAAGAGAGAGAGAGGATCTGCCGCGGATGAGAAAAATCGATGAGAGGCGGCGCACCGTTGGACGACGATACGTTTTGCTCCTAAGGAGGACGCGTGCAAACAACGATAACGGTAACGAGCAGTCAACGGGTGTAAATATTGGCGGCTCCGGCCGCCGGTATCGTAATTAACGCGTTAGATCCGCTCAATTAGATACCGAGAAGGCGACCGGGCTGTTAGTGCAGCGCAACGCCGCGCTGCTGTACCCCGTCGACGAAGCAACCGGAGATATAGAGAATTAGAAAGAAAGAAAAAGAGAGGACATGCCATCGGACCGGAAGAATCTCGAGCCAAACCTCAAGAAAGAAAAATAGAAACTTGAACCGGGAGTATCTCTCATCCCGGATTTAAATTTCCGTATCGTATCGAAGAAGAAAGAGATACCGGAAATTCCCGCGATCCATATGTTATTTTAATAACGCACAGATCGAACTATGAGACTCTTCTAGTAGCACTGCATTGGCATTACATTGGCTCAACATTGATCAATATTGAGCTGAGAATGTAACGCCAATGAAGTGTATTGCTGGAGTCGCGATCACCGCATCCGCGTGCTGGCGGTATTCACGCAATTCGTCCAATGTTTTTTCTTTTAGAGGCCACTCAACAATTACGTCACACGAAATTCTTTAATCCCTCTTCATCACATTTTGTTACACAGTGTCGAGTTGGACCACCTTCCAATATTTACGTGACATATGGAATTACCCGCCAATTTTCTTCAATTATTTCCTTTATTCCAACGAAATACTTAATTTTCCATAATTTTCTTTATTTTCATAATAATTCGTGCAACTACCTGCAAGCGGCGGAAAATTACCGCTTGTTTTAAAATACGTAATATTTCACAGAAAAGTTTTGTAGAAGAGAACAAAGGTACACTGTTTGATAGACAGCATAATAGAGTGACTGTTTTACGATTGATTAACGCGCAACAATCGACTAACGCACGATTCAAATATTTTACGAATTACATAGTCCGCACGTTGCTGACGATGTTTAGTTGACTTGCGAACACGTTGGCTGATTGTAATCGAGTGACACAGTTGCTTTCAACTTGATTTTGTGCCGGGAAAAATATATCCATTGATATTATTAATTAATATTGTAAAAGAAAAGATGTCAACAATGAAAGGAAAATATTTTATTTTAATTGTTTAAATTTTATTTATATTTTTATTATATCTTACTTTCACACACACACATATATGTAATATTTATCATATATAATATTTAATTTGACTTCCGAATTAGCACTGTGCTGCGATTTATGAATTTGTTCCGACGTTTCGTGGACATTTCAGTTCACTTTTTCAGAGTGAGGAATGACGTGAACAGCTTTGTTTTAATGGTGAGAATATTATATTATATTCCTTATTTAATTAATTCTTATTTCTCCACAAATGTACGTGTTAAAATTTAATGAAATATTAATGAAATATTAAGTATTTTTAATTGCG